TCGTGGGCGTCCTTCTTCACCCGCGGGGGGATGTCTCCGTCCACCTGGGAGAGAGCAGAGGGTCCATGGGTGGTGTCAGAGCCAGGGCCGGCGGGTGGCACAGTGGCAGGGAGGCAGCCCCGCTGTGCTCACCATGACCTTGCGGAGTTTGTAGTTGCGGGCACGGATGTCCTGCATGAGCATCTCGAAGGGGGTGAGCTGGTACTCGGTGGGCAGGGGGTTGAACTGCTTCTCCTGCACCTTTTTCAGCTTCACCCCATGCCGCAGCTCCCGCATCAGCTGCACCCACAGCCGGGCCTGGGGGAGTGATGGACATGGCATCAGCCCCCACACAGCCCCGGCACAGCCCCCGTGCCCGGCTGCGCTGCCATACCCAGTCAGTGTTGCGCAGGCTGCCAAGCTCCGCCGCCGGCCGCTCCTCTGCTTCCTCGTCCTCCTTCAGCTTCTGCAGCATCTGCCGCAGCACAAGATGCTGTCACCCTGCCTCGGCGCCCAGCAGCACCGAGGGTCCAGCAAGGACTGTGCCATAGGGCTGCAGCACCCACATGCACCTCCAAAGCCCCCCCATCCCCGCTGCGAGCCATCCCTGCCCGCACCAGCACAGGGCAGGCAGGAGCCGGCAGTGCCACGGTGCAGCAGCCCAGGAGTGGGTGTATGGCCGAACGCCGGTGCCGGCAGCGCTGGTTGGGGTGGGCAGAGGGGAACACCAAGCTCACCCCAGCATTTTGGGCCCACAGGGGGGTTTCCCAGCCAGTCCCCAGTGCCGGCCATGCAGCTGGGTGCCCACACTTACTTCTTTGGCATCACGGATCTTGGCGAGGAAGGCTTTCAGCTCCACAGTCTCAGCGAAGAGCGCCCGGCAGACGGCCTGGTAGTGTGCCTGGGCCTCGGTGGGGTCGGCCAGGCGGGCGGCACAGCACCGCATGGCCTGCCCGAAGGTGCGCACAGCACGCGGTGGCCCCTCGCCCCCCTCCTCCTCCTCCTCTTGCCCCCCATAGCCCTCGTCGGCCGTGCCGCAGCCACTGTCCTCTGAGTCGCTGTTGGTCATCAGGTCGATGAGCTGCTCCAGCCGCGGGCTCAGCTCCCGCTCCTCGTTCTCATCCAGTCCCCAGTCCAGCGCCCGGTAGATGGCAAAGCCCAATGACTGCACCATCTATGGGGAGACAGCACCCGCTGGGCCCCTGGCAGACCCTGACACCGTCTGCTCCGGGGGGAACCCCTCGGAACTCATAGCCAGCACCAGCTGCCTCTCATCCCCCTCGCCATCAGTGCTGGGTCTCATTCCCCCATGGCACCCCAGCACCCCATCACCATCACCGCAGGGCGAGGGGGACAGGCGGCAGTGCCCACCCAGGGACTGCTGTGCCGGGGTGCGATGGCAGATGGGCCAAGTCCCCAGGAAGCTGCAGCGGGACCAGGCAGCCATCCGGCCCCCACGTACCTGGGCTTCAGCGGAGGGTGTCAGCAGTGGAGCCAGCTCTGGAGGAGAGAAGGACAGTCACCTCTGGCACCTGTGGCCCCATTCCTACCCCGAGCCAGGACCCCCATCCCCAGCCGGTCCCGTCCTAAGCTGGTCCCAGGACACAGCTCCACAGGACAACAGGGACCTGCGTGTTGAGCCTTGGCATCAGGCAGTGCTGGCTGCAAGATGGTGGCGCAGCCTTTGTTGCCCCCCCCCGCCCAACCGAGCATGGCAGTCCTCACTGGGCATTGCAGCAGTCACTGGCCCTGGGCAATGAGCCCAAACAGGCACCAGTCACTTGGCCCCACTGCCCCCAGCCAGACCCAGGAGGCACATCGGGGGTGGCAGGGTCACCCCTTTACCCCTCAGCCCTGGGGAGGGAGCTAAGAGCTCTGCACCCACAAGGAAATGACCCCTGCACTCCTCTGGGCTGTGAGCACCGGCAGTGTGGGCACCAGCAGAACAGGCACTGGCAGTGTGGGAACTGGTTGTGTGGGCACTGGTAGTGTGGGTATAGGCAGTGTGGGGACTGGCAGCGGGGGCACAGGCAGTGGGGGCACCGGCAGTGTGGGCACCGGCAAACCAGGGTGAAGTGAGGACCAGCAGATCACCCACAGGACTCAGCCCAGGTGCCCAGCGTGGGCTGTGGTGACAGGCTGTGCCCAGTAAAAGATGCTGCTTTCCACTGCAGAGCCAGCACAGCTGGAGCATCGCACACACACACAGAGCACCGTGCCCACACACACAAGCCCAGGACATGCTCATGGGCAGCTCAGACCCTCCTGGGAGCTGGATGGCCACAGGACAAGGAGCTGGAGTGGCTTTTGCAGCATCCCTGAGGGCAGTGCCCCGGGGCTCCCGGCTCCACTTTCCCCATAGCGGCCGCAGAGCCACTTCCCCGGCCCAGGGGAGCGCTGGCCATTAGCTCTCCATTTAGCTGATCTATGCAGCAGCAGTTGTGGGGATGTGCCAGCTGTGTGCCAGCCGTGTGCCAGCCATGGCCACACGGACCCAGGACCTGCCGAGGAGGCCATGCCAGGCGCCTGGGGGTATGGCTCAGGCTGGCACAGCAGGGACCTGGGAGCAGGAGGCAGTGTGGTGGCACTGACTCTGGCACAGCAGCCATGGTGGCTCAGGGAAGGGTGTGGGGACATTCCCATGTGTGACTGGTGGAGCTGGTGTGACGATGCCATGCCCAGCTGCCGCGGGCACGTGCCGTGTCTATGTGTGGCTGTCCCACATGCCTCGGTCCCCACGGGCTGCCTGCACCCCACTCCCCATCTCCCATCTCCATGGCTC